GTCAGGTGTTGAATGTAGCACCTTGTGAGACAAATATGACCTGCATCCATGCTTTGTTTGGCTCTCATAATCTGGGGGGAAATGAGCATGTTTTAAATTAGGAGATTTCATAAAACTTCTGGATTTTCAGTTGTTCTTAACTTAAAAATAGGAGATGGAGCAACAGCCAGCCTATATTCAGCAAAAATGGGTTGGAATTGTACATTTTAGGGAAAAAAAAGCCAAACTATTCTGTCCACTGTCATCCACCTAATCCCATTTGTCCCTTAGAGTGGTCCTCTTCACACAGTTATCCCGACAGCGCTTGAGTTTGTAACCTCCGGTGTAATTGGATACGGAGGTTGCCCCGGGTGCATCAAACACAGAAGTGTGCAGCTGGGTTTACGATGTGTTCCAAATAATTTGTAAAGAATGGTAATTAAAACAGCAAAATTTGCCACTGGTTAACTTTTTGAAAATAAGTTACTATAGGTTCTCGTTACGCTTCCTCACCGACACCGTGATGGGCTTTCTTGAAATGGCGATAAGCAGGACAGTACAGCAGCTCCGCTGAGAACCCCAGATCAGCTTGGGTCTGAAAGTCAAGATTCTCTTGGGTGCACGTGGTACCAATGAGCTCACCTCGCTCCCCGCCCCCTCGCCCTCAATATTGACTTACGTAAATGAGAAGCCCAGGGGTATCTGGCTCAGGCAGGGCTGCATTCAGGAAATCAAATAACGTTATCTTATCTACCTCCCTGCCTCCTTCCCTCCCTCCCTCCCTGCCTCTTCCTCTCACTGCCCCCTGCCCTTCCCTTTCTCAGCTCTGCTCTCCCTGGTGGCTTAATTCTCTAGCAAATTCTCTTCATAAAGTGGCAAAGACAGCCACTGATGGCAAGTCCAAGCTGCTTGTGTCCCTTGGGACATGATCTAAGAAAGAAAGAGAACTTCCCTCTTACAAGCCATAGCAAGTCAAGTAAATATGATTTGCCCTGCCTGGGTCACACACCCAGCGTTAATTTAAGAAATATTTATTCAGTGCCTCCACTGAGTCAGACTCTAGTTAGAAGGTTGGAAATAATCACTACATTATCGGAGATGGGAGGGAATCAGCAAATAAAAAGGAAACATAATCAAGAAAATTATATAGGACTCGAGAAGTGAAAGTGCACAGGGGCGTTTTTACTGAGTCAAAGCCCACCAGGTGACAAGCAGCAGCCCCCACCCCACCAGCAACGAAAAAATAAAGACAAAAGAGAGATCCTTCTACCAGAGAAGGGCGGGGATGGAGCGCAGGCGAAAATGAGGTCTCTTACAAATGCGAGTGTTTCATGACCATGAACATCATCTCTGTCTCATTTGTGCTGCTTCAGGTTGGGCAGAGGAAGGAAAAAAAGACAAAAAACTGGCTTCCCTGTGAGATAGGCCTCCAGTAACAGCACCTGAGACCCCTCCTGCCCTGCTCCGCCCCCGGCGATACCACGCTTCTTGGAGCGTACCATGTAATCGTAGCAGTCCTCTGCCTAAGCTGTTCCCTGTGCCTCCAACGCCCTTCCCCCTCCTATTCGCCTTCCTGCCTTCTGTCCCTTGTTCACGGACCTGAGCTAAGTGAGGTGCCCCTCCTCCGGGCTCTGGAAGAATCTGCGCTTGTCCCACTGGCTGGGAAATTATCTTTTCTCCTCCTGGTTCTTTGCCATGAGAGGTGTTCGGTCCCTAGTACAGATGTGGACGCTCTGTGATGAAGGAGGGATAAATTTGTTTCACGGCTCCTCTCAGAGAGCCCTCAGTCCCGTCACTCCCCACTGTGGGAAGACCGAAAGGTGAAGGGCATTATAGCCGGTCCGTCATGAAGTCATGCTCATGTCTGCATTGCGTGCCTTTAGGTCCTCGGAGACCGTGACTTTTCCTGACCCTCATGCTCCCTACCTGGCCGAAGCCCGGTTGGAGAGCACGTGGGGTCTGTGTGAAGAATTCCTGGGCAGCAATTTAGGGAGGTGGTGGAGAGCATGGCCTCTAGGTGTATTTGTCTCCTGGATCTGCTGCTTAGTGAGTACATGACCTTTAGCTATGTTTAGTAGCTCTCAATCGATTACAGATAATAATAGTATCTTCAGAGAATTGTTGAAAATGAGGTAATCCATGTAAAGCTCTTAGAACAGTGTTTAACACTTAGTAACGGCTCAATACATGTTTGCGATTATTATTGTGGTGATGATGAGGAAGGGGAGGGGGAGAGGAGGGAGGAGAGGGAAGCATCCTCAGCCAGCCAGACGACTATGGTACCCGAACTGCATCATCGTAGTGGTTCCAGTTGGCAAAGGGCGTGTATTTGTATTATGTCATTTGACCCTTACAGTCACCCTGTGAAATAGTGTCATTTTCCTCCCCGTTGTAGAGGTGAGGAAAGTAAGACTCAGATGGACTTCCCTGGGCCTTTATACCCTTTAGCTGAAGAGCCCATGCTTTTGTGATTATGCTCCTCTGCTTGTATCTCTGTTCCAGAAATTCTAATTTTGGAGTAATGATGACATTGAAGAAACAGGCGTTCGGGCTGTGGCACCCTGGTTGTATGTCCAGCACCTGTCACTCTGTTCACACTGTTGCTCTGGCCCAGCCAGGACTGGGATAAAGCCAGGGACATCACCCTGGTGTGTGACACAGGCCTTTACCTGGGAGCAGGTTTGAAGCTAACCCAGTGCACTGGTGGCCATTTGTTTGGGGAACTGTTCAGTGACCTCTATTTCTAGAAGAAAAGAGGCCCTGTAATTCAGATTCTTTGGGAAAAGTGGCATTCCCCCAACCACTTACAGTGACACTGAGACTTTCCAGTAGGGTGGGAGCCGAGGTCACATCCTTTGCCCTCCTCCAGCTCTGTCTGAAATTTCCCGTTGGGCCCTATGGTGTGTCGTCACTTATCTTGGAAAGCTGTGACAGGGCTCCTGTTACCAGTCTCC